TCTCACTGATTGGCATATCAAAGACAGCCCGATCCGGCACCTAGTGCAGTATCATAATCGAGTCTAGGGGTCAGGTGTAACTTTCCAGTTTTGCCCATCAATCTCCAAGGTCCAGGGCAATACTAGAAATCTGGTCCGGTTCAAAGATTCAATTAATCCTACACTACACGTATCTTGAGTCTCACCCTGGTGGTTGAGACAGGTCACCCCAACATTTGGTAGTACACCAGTGTCAGCCTTGCCAAGATAAATCTCCCCAGACTTATCCAACGGCTGTGAACATTCTAAACTAACACGAGTCTCATAAGTGTCTAGTTTAAGGGTATTACATAGAAACACACCACAGAAACATGAATCAAATATGTACTTTATTCATTTACAATAAATTCATAATGTACATCATTCTGATTGAAGCTAAGGGCATACAACTGTCTAACAAAAATGCCTAGAGACAAAAGTGCACAACTGAAAACAATTACAGAGGATTCTAGAGAAATAATGAAATGAACAAAAGTCATATTTACCTAGAACAACAAGCCATGGCCGTGGAACTTGTGTTCAGTGATGCGATCTATCTGCTCAATCATATCAGCAGTTAGATGGTTCCTTCAGTCTCCAACTTGGCCTTTTCTAAAGAAGGCACTGAATTTCACCCCTGGAACCAATTCCTTATCTGAACTCTTGTTCACCTCTAAATTGCTCAGATTCTCAAAACTACACAATTCCAATATTTTTTCCACCACCCCTTGTTTCTCCTCCTCCAAGGAGAATGGGTACTCCAGGTGTTGGGCCAATTTCTTCAAACAAACTGATGTATTGCTTCTCAGAACCTCATATTTTAAAAACAGTATCCTCTTAGGCCACTCCAGGCTTGCTTTCCAATATCCTAAAACATGATCCCAATAGGGTCCCCATGGGGAGGCTCCTTTGCAAAACATCTGAAATGTCTCCTCTAGTGAGATTACTGGCTGGTCCTTGTTGAGCTTGATTTGGATCACATCTGCAAAGTGCCAAAAGGAAACAAACACATCTTTTGGATTACGACAAATGTAGACGATTCTACAATTGGAGTCTATTGTTGATTTTGGTAAAGATGAGTAGGGAATGTGGGTTGAGAAGAGGCGAGGCGATGGAAGAACATCGGGGTTGGCGATTTGGGAGGTTTTGTAAATACTGATTTCTAACATGGGAACACACTCATGAGAATTATGAGTAAGCAGAGGATGTGTAGAAAAATCATAAAGGGGATTGACAATGGAGAAGATGAGGGCGTTCATCCATGTGGTGCCTGATTTTGGAGTGGAGGCTAAGAGAATATTAGTGGATCGAGCTTTGAAGTGTTGTTGAACAGCCATGACTCCCAGTAGGGAAGAGGTGGGGAGGTGCCAAAAGCCTTGGTAGAGAGTTATATGGTCAGAGGTGCAGCCTCTTTCAGTTGGAAGAGTTGAAATTAGATCCATATACTTTTGGTAGATTCTTTCATCTTCTTCTTCCTCTTCTTTTGATTTGGTTGGGAAGCACTTCCTAGATGGTGGAGTAAACTCCATGGCCAACTTGTGTGAGAGTTTGAGATGGTTTCTTGATGAAGTTGAGGCTTCACCAGACTGTTAATAAATGAAATGAGATTTTTATTTTTTATTTTTTCTCTCTCTTTTCTAAGCCTTGGAATGAAACGAGAGAGAAGGCTAGTTGGTGAAACAGGACTCTTGTAGCCAATCCAAGTGCTGCATGTCTACTTCCTCACACCGACTTTACAGCTGTTATGTCCCACCATGTCTTGGCAAATATCTCCTAAATCAAGAGACAGATCTGGACTCAATAATTGTTGATATCGTATGTCTGGCCGGGGATATGTGCCCTATACTTTGAATTTGCTCAGTCTGTGCATGAATGCATACCTGCCTTGCATTGGAGACGACTCCACCACATTCATTAATAATTGCCTTGCCTTGCCTTTGCTGTGCTAATTTTATTTTGTACGGGTGCAAATGCATGGGAGTGAGCCATTAAGAATTGCTAGCTGAGCTAATTCTAACAAGTGATCGAAAGGCAAGACATACTTCTTGCAGGACTGAATTCCCAAGTCACCTTCAGATTGAGGTTTACACATTCACTCCCAACTAATCCAATGATAAGAAGGACCAAAGTGGAGAATCTTCTTGGGTGGGGAAGTAGCACTACTCATATGAATTGGAATGCTTTGAAGCATGTGCCTTAGTAGCACCCAATTCCCTCCTATTGATAGTAATTTCGACTTCCACCCCTCAATCCTTTTCTAAATTTTGGTTAAAATATTCTCATAATCACTACTCTTGGGCCTCTTCTTTCTGATTGGCGCTCCGAGATAGGTAAAAGGAAGAGTCTTCTTGAAGAAACCAATGACCTCATGTATCATCTTTACTCTTTGAGATGGGGATTTATCAGCAACCATAAAGCATGACTTGTGCTTATTTATTTTTTGACCCAAACTCTCTTCATAAGTGGACAGAAATTTCATCAAATCCTATAAGCTTTTCTTTAAACTTCTAGCAAAAATAATTGTATCATCTGCAAAGAGACTGTGAGAGATTGCAATGGTGTTCCTTGGCATTTTGAAATATTGCACTTGACCGCTTGTGAATAAATTATTCAAACCCCTACTGAGAACTTCTTCAGCTAGTATAAAGAGCCTCCTTGTCTTAGGCCTCTAGATGATTTAAAATAGCCCACTGGATATCCGCTAATCATGATAGAAAACTAATAGTTTCATAAGAATAATTTAACAAGATCAATCCATATATTTAAAAAACCAAATTTCCTGAGAACATTCCATAAAAAAATCTAGTTTAACCTATCATAAACTTTTAACATGTCTAATTTAAGGATGACACTACCCCCAAGTGATTTCCTACTCAACTTGCTTGCCATTTCCTGAACAATGGAAATGTTTCCCCCAATATACTGGCCTTTAACAAACGCTCCTTATTCAGGAGAGAACTCAGGGATACAACTATATAGCTGATCATGATTAGTACAACTTTCTTCAGTGAGGAGATCTTGAAAGAATTGGATAGCATGATTTTTAATTATAGACATATCCTCTGTAACAACCCCATCTACTCTCATTTTCCCTATAAAAGAGAAGTTTTGGTTGGCTTTAAGTGAAGTGTGAAAAAAGCGAGTATTCTTGTCTCCCTCCTGTAGCCATTTTTCTCTTGATTTTTGTCTTAAGAAAATTTCTTGGAGCAAAGATTGATTGAATTGCTCTTTAGCATCAACTAAATTCTGTCTTGTAGCCTCTTAGTCATCATTTTCTAATGCTGATTTTGCATCTATAACAGCACATTCAGCCCGTTTAATGTTTAGAAAAACATCACCGAAAGTTTCCTAGTTCCACATTTTAGTTTTCCTTCAAGTTCTTTAGTTTAGAAGCTAGAACTTGCATAGCATTTCCTTCAAAATTAAGCTCCCAACCCTCTTTTACTACTTCAATAAAATTTGGGTGAATGGCCTACATATGTTGATACTGGAATGGTTTAGGACCATAGGATAAACCATCTTTAACTGTCACTAGTAAGGGGCAATGGTCAGATCCCGTCCTATTAAGGTGATCTAAACTTGTATGTTGGAACTAGATAGTCCAAGAGCTGTTCACAAAGACCCTGTCCAAGCGTATCCACGAGGACCCATTGGTCCAGGTGAAATTCGGCCCATTAAAACCCGCATCTAACAATTAAAATCTATTGACTGTTTCGTTAAAGTCTTGCATTGAGATAGTTCGATTATTTGAGAGGCCATGTCTATTTAGTCTTTCAGCCAGATTTAGAACAACATTAAAATCACCCCCGATTAACTAGGGGGAATTACATGTGCTAGCAAAGTCTTCTAGTAAATTCCACAAGCTCCTTCTCATTCTATAATCACAGCTGCATAAACAACAAAAATAAAACAAGTAACGTCCATATTTAAGCAAGAAATTTCTAAAGTTACACATTGGGGGTGTAAACGGAAATTATTCACTTGTATTGGAAGATTCCAAAATAACCAAATCTTGCACACTCCCTCTCTATTTGGTAAGTAATCTGTCATGCCTAGCTAACCTGGTTTGGTTTGTGAGTTGGTTGCCGGTCGTCAGAAGTTGTTCTCCTCTCTATCTTCGGCATATCCGGTACCACAGATTGTTCAGTCAATTCAGGTACCTCTTCCAAGGAATTAGACACACAATCAATGGCTTTGGCTACTCTTCTACTGAGAGTCCTTGGAACTCTATGAAGGAAGCCATCGTTTCAGAGAAACTTGAGATTGTAGCGCTTCTTCTATCACTAGCAAATTGAGGTCTCAGATTCACTTCAATCCGATGGAGGGGTTATGGGCCCAAACTCAATTCAACCGTGATGGGTGGTAGTACTTTTTGTGAATGATTAGATTTCAAGGAACAATATACTTTTTTTGGGATAGATGAAATGGGTGGTAGTACTTGAGACCATTGTTTTCGAACTTTTTGTTGATCCAGACGGTTGGACTATTCGCCCTCAAAACCACCTTGTCAACCGGTTTTATTTCATCCTAAATCCATTTTCTGGTCAAAAACTATTGACTTGGTTAATGATCCATTGATTCGGGTAGTCGAATCATCGATCTGTTCGACCTGGACAATGTTTTTAGCCATTTTTATTTTAATTTTTTTATTTAAATTGGAACAGATCATCTATTTTAACTGGACGGTTGAACCGATTACCCAAAAACCAGTGGCCAAAGTGATTCTGGTTCTAGGTCAGTTTTTAAAACATTGCTTTAGATTTCAATACCAAGAAAATGATGTGAAGGCCCAAGATTATTAATGGAGAAGTGTGTGACCATGTATGAGATCAAATCAGAAATCAATGAAGGATTTGAGCTTGTGACTATAATATCATCCACATGTATAAGCAAAAGTGTGGTATCATTGTCTATAGGGGTGTCAATGGACTGGCTTTGGGTTGGACCCCGTCCAAGCCAAAATCAATTTGGACATATTGGATGGACCAACAAAACATATTGAATTGGGTTGGATTGAGCCAATATTCGGTCCATTGATAGAAGATAAGAATTTTGGTATCAATGGACCAAGTTTGGGTTGGAATCATTCTAATTTCAGACGAATTAGAACAGATTGGATAGTCTAGACATTGAATTGGAACCATCCAAAATATTCAGCGGATTAGATTGGACCCGGTCCATTTGTAATGGACTCACTTTGGACTGGATGGGATTGGACCAAATCCAATACAATTGACACCCCTAATTGTCTATATGGCAAACAAAGAGAGATTAGTCTGATATAGAGAAATTGGTACCAGGCCATAAGGATTAGATGATAGCCAAGGTTCAAAATATCGATACAAGCCGATATGCTAGTTGGGACATATTAGCATCACGTTTTTGTTTTTATTTTTTTTTTAGTTTTTTTATTTCAAATTAATTCAAAAGGATGGTTTAAAGCCTGCCTATCCCCTAAACTATGTCAGACCCTAAAACACCCACTGTAGGGACATATCGAGAGGTCACCAGTACAATATATATCAGTCAATACGACCTAATACATAATAATATTTTGAACATGGATGATAGTTAAGATAAGGGTTAGATGATAGATGATTTAAATACACTAGCTTTCTAGCCTTAGTTGTCTTCAACCTCGGGATTGAGATTGGGACAATGATAAAATGATGGCAGTCGGTTTCCTTCGTTCAAACCCAACAGAGAGATAGAGAGAGGCGAAGAAAAAAAAAGAAGAAAATAGCATAAGCCAAAAAAAGTTGAGAGAGAGGTATTAATATTGAGTGGGAGACAAAAAGTTCGACAGGGAGAGAAAGGCTTCTTCAAGTTCGAGTGATTCTTCTCTAAGGAACTCCAAGAACAAGAAACAATATATATATAGAGAGAGAGAGATAATTTTTAAGAGGAGATATTTGTATTATAATTATGGGAAAATCTATGGTGTGGAAAGATATTATACCCAAGTTTGACCAATGACAATCCCCTGTGAATTTTGACGAAAATCCAATTGATTGATTCCTATGTTTATGATATGATTGATTGGTTGCAAGCTTTTGTGGGTGTCATTGCAAGCAATGTGGAGTTACAGAATAACCCTTTTGCTAATATTTTGAAAAGAAAATCGTTAACTTATTCCTGTCTGTCCATACTTTGAAATGATATTAACCTCCAATGGGAGCATGGATTCAGTCCTCACACCATGTTTATAGCCTTTTGCATCAGAAATATCTCCATATTTATATGTGTTATTCATAGGGAGATATTTTGTATTCCCAATACATAGCTGCAAGTGGCTGTGAATATGGTATGGTATCTTTTCCGTTTTGTGAGGATTGAA